ATCTAAATTAGAATTAGAGCTATAAAAACTAATTAAGAAATTAGAATTAGAATTATAGCTATTGGAATTTTTAGTTTTAATAAGAATATCTTTTTCTTATATAATTAAATATTATAGTTCTTTATTTAATACTTATTATTTCTATAATATATATATTTATTTTATTTATAATATAACTGGTATTTTATTAGAGATATAAATTATATTTAATTATTTATATGAAACAAAAAGAAAGATTATAAAATTATATTAATAGTATTAATAGTAAATATATTTATAATATTATTTTATTTAAATAATAAAGCTTTTTTCTAGAATTATAATATTTAGCTAATTATAATATTATTTTAATAAAAAGTTATAATTTTATTTATTTTATTCTAATTTTATTTTTATATCTTATATAAAATAGATTTAAATTTAGTAATAAAAATATAAAGCAAATTAGTATTTTATCTAAAAAAAAATATAGCTTATTTTCTATTTTTATATCTTATTTAAATCCGAGTAAATATAAGAAAGTTAATTAAAAATTAAAATATAAAACTAGATTTAATTATTTCTTATTTAAAAGAACTAAAAAAGAATTATAACTTTAAATATAAAATTCGAGATTTAGATAAATATAATAGAATTAAATAATAGTATTACTAATAACCTTATTATTAACTTGTAACTTAGCCTTAATTAATAAAAGCCAGATATTAAATTTATAGATCTAGTTATTAAATTTTTCGAAATATAAAAGAAAGAATTTTTGCTTTATATTTATAAAAGAGAAAAAAGAATAAATTTATAAAAGAATAAGCTTATTATCTTATTATTAAATAATCTCAACTTGTTTTATTATCTCTATTTAAAGCTTAGTAATTATATTAATAATCTGGATTTATAAAAGTTATTTTATAATATTAGAAAAAAGAAATACAAATTATAAAAACTTGAAATAAAAAAGAATTTAATAAGCTTTTAATTTCTCTAATATATAATAGTTCTATAACTATATATATTAATAGTACTATTATTTAAATTACTATAAAATCGTATTTATATATAAAATATAAGAATAGTTTTACTTTTTTTTTATAAGAATAAGAATAGATTTAAAATAATATTATAAGACTAGATTTCTGGATTTAAAAAATAAAATAAAGTAATTTAATTCCGAGAATTTTTAAATTAAAAAAGAAAATATATAAATATAAGAACTTAGTATTCTAAATATTATAGTTATATAATACTAAATTTATTAGTAAAATAATAGAATATAATAATAATAAAAAATTTTATAATTTTTTTTTTAAATTTAACTATTTAATTTCTATTATAAAAAAATTCTTAAAAAATAATAAACTTTTATATTCTTCTAATAAATAATTTTTAGAATTTAATTTTAAACTTAAAATAAATACTTTTCTAGAATTAATTTTATTATAAGTACTTTTAAAAATAAATCTTATAATATTTAAAAGACTATAATAAAATAAAGCTTATTAGTATATAAGATTTATTAAAAGTAATTTGAGGCCTATTTAGCTAATATATTTTAAGTACCTTAAATTTATTAATAAAATACCTTTAAAGAACTTCGAGATCTTTAGTAAAAAAATAGTAAAATAATTATTATATCTATATATATAATTCTTAATATAAAGATATCTCGGTATATTTTTAAGAATTAGTAATAAAAACCCTATCTTTATAGCAAGTTTTTATTATAGGAGGCTATTTAGCTATAATATATATTTATAAAATCTCTATAATATTAAGGAATTAATACTTGTATCCGGTACTATAGCTTATAAATATTATAAGATCTCAAAAATATATAGCCTAAATCCCTAAAATCCGCTTATTTATTATTATTAAAATATATATAAGTAATTTATTAAAAGATATTCTATATCTTAAGAAGTTATATATCTGGGTATTATAGAAGCTGGAATTTCGAAAGCAATATCAAAAGCTTGAAGTAACTGTGCCATTGACTGTATTACTACTGCAACCGACTGGCTTTGCCGTAAGTACGGCGGATCGGAGGCCAGGAAGCCATTGAGTCGTTGCAATTATAGTTCTGAAGTGACTGCTGGTTCTGAGAATTGAATCGGGCTCTTTTATTAGCAAATCGGACTCCTCGCTCAGGACCGATTAATTACTGTTACCCCCTGTTTGTTAATACGAGCGGTTAATTAATCGGTTCTAAGCGAGGAGCCCGATTCGCTAATAAAAGAGCCTGATTTTAAAATAATATATAAATTTCTAATAAAAGATAAAGGCCAAAATTTAATTAAATAAAAAGAATTAATAATTATAAGAGACTTAAATAAATTTTTCTTAGATTAAATTCTATTAAAGATTAAAATATATATATAATTTTATATTTTTAAATTAAAATTATAATAAAAAGGTTTTAGAGTTCTAATAAAAGGCTAAAGCTAATATTATTTAATTAATATAATTAACTAAACTATTTGTAATAAATTATATTAATAGGATTTTAATAATTTATAGGTTTTAAAATATTTTAGTATTTTAAAAATTTGCTTGTATTCGACCTCGTATTTATAAACCGGAGTTCGCTTAAGCAAGCGATTAAGCAATCGGGGCCCGCAATTGGGCAATGGGGACCCCGATTGACTAATCGCTCGTATTGACGAACGGGGTGGAACAGTACGAATATTAAATGCCGACCTGCAAATGCTGACTTTGCAGGCAGCCGCCAACTTCGTCAATCCCACGAATAGCAATACATACAAGGGCGCCATTACATTCACGAGCCTTCTGCGACTCCATTAATATGGAAGCATTTAGGAGCAAGTACTTTCTACGCCGAGATCTTTAAATATCTGTAGAGACTAATCAGGCACTCAGCTATTCCAATTATCGCTAATATACACGAACGACAAGCCGCATCCAAATGCCTGCACCATAGCTGCCCGCAACCTGTACGGAAGATCTATTCGAACTATTCGGCCATCTCCCAAAGGAAATTCGGCCGATAATATGGTCGTTTGCTGTATAAGGAGGTGCTCGGATGACCTAGCTTCGTACTCAAGATTGGGGCGATTGCGGTTTGATTCTACTGCTTGCTGATTTTGGCCCGGGGGGAGGTCAATAAAGGCGGAAAGGGTGCGGAGAATCTGCATGAGGGAGAAAGGAGCCGACGAGGTGAATTTGATACGTCCCTGAAATGGGAGACAAAGTTAACGATTTTGGCGCAAGCCCTTTTTGGACTACCTATTCTAGCACTGTCTTCAGGCTTTACCTACGACTGGTCTCCACTTACCTGGTTTCACCTGGCGATCTTTACGTGTCTATCTGCGACTTGTCTCGGGCAGGGTAGGGAATAGTGTGACCTCAGTCCAGTGCCACCGCGGTGCCACCGCAGTGGTGCGGTGCAATATAGCCATAGTCTAGTTTAGTACAGATGTACCGCACCGCGGTGGGTATAGTGTAACTGCGGTTGCACCGCAGTGCAACCGCAGTTTAAGGGGCAGTCTCGCTTAAAATTACCCAAGGGCGTCAAGTGACTTATAGTAAATAGAAAATAGCCAAACCTTAGCGTAATTAAATAATTCTTTCATTATTAGAAAGGGTTAATCTAGGGCTTTAAAATATATTAAAAAATTTAATTTTAGGTATAGTGGTTATGGAAATATATCTAAATACTTAATCGGAAATTCTTGAAGCTATTTATTGAGTTCTCGCTCTAGTACCGGAAAAGAATTTTTCTCTAACTCAAGCCTTTCTTGAATTCCTCTTAATTAAAACGCTTCCTCTTAATTAACTACTATATAACTATATCTCCAAAGGCCTAATTAATACTTCCTTTTAGGAAAACCACTTAGTTAAGCTTTTCTAATAAGAGAAATTCCTTTATAATTAACCTAGAAGCTTCCGAAATTAATAGCCAAGCCTCTATAAATTCGATTCTAGCCCTTCCCGAAACCTCGAATATTTCTTCCGAAACCTTTAAATTCCTCCAAAAGCCTCCGAATAAGAAGATTCTATATATTTTCTGAATATTTAAATAAATAAGAGATATAGATAATATATAGTATATATTCTATAATATAGCTAGTAAAAAGAAGTAGTATTATTAATTTTGCTTATAAAATTACTAAATTAGTAATAGAACTAGTATTATTAGGGCTTATTTAGATATATATAATATTAGAAAAAAGTTCTCTATAAATATTAAGGTAAAGAATATATAAATTACAATTAAAAAAGCTATTAAATTAGTAGCTTAGAACTCTCAGAAATATAGAAAACTTAATAATCCTCTTCTATATTATCCTATATTCGGACTACCCTAAGTAATTGGCTCCTAGTACTTCCTGGAAAAAGCAGGTCACGTAAGGAATACCAGAATCTCTTTCTTTTAGGAAATCGCATATCAGAACGTAATTACATCCAAATCCTTAGGGCTTAGCTTAGGATAAGAGAGAAGAAGCTCAAGTACCTTTCTCTATATTTTAGTAGTTCTGGAATATAAGGGGCTTTTATTACGATTTTTTAAAGCTCGGGAGGGGGCAAGGGAAATTCTTAAGGTACTAGCTAGCTTTCGGGGCTCCCTAAAAAATACAGGTTATATAAGGAATACTAAAAAAAAAAAAGCTAGCCTTATATTACTCTTCTCTTCTTCTTCTCTTTATTACTTTCATATTTACTACTTTCCCTTTTACTTATATTATAGACTCTTCTCGCTTTTATACTACCTATAAGTAAAACCGGCCTGCTTCTGACTTTATTATAGAGCAAGGCAAGTAATATAAGACCTATAATTACTATTAAGTTTATATTTTCCCCCTTTTCTAACTTAACTAACCTATTAATAAGCCCGGAATATTACTAATCATACCTAGTAATACCCTATCTTATAAGAACTTAATCCAAATATTCTCCCTATTTCCCGGTAATAATAATAGTCTATTACAAATATCTCTATAAATAAGCTAGCCCTATAGTACTAGTAACGGATCCGTTAACCGTCCATTATGGCCCCAGTTAATATCTTAGAGGACCCTCCTATAAACTTACCTATTATATGGCCTCCTGGCTTCCTCTTATACTTCCGGCCAGCTCCTATATATATAACTGGTCTGCTTACGGGTTACTATATAGCTTGCGGAGCCCTCTATTTTAGTTATATAAATAATTGCTTTAAGGCCTATTATAAGAAGGGTAATATAATACTTCCTTTAATCCGCAAGCCTTCTCTATATCTCTCTTACCTCTTTATAAGTAATAATCTACTTTACCGGGCCTTTCGGGTAAATATCCGGGTATATAATTATACTTTTGCCTTTATATTAGTTAAGTATAAAAAGGATATATAAATCAACTTCTCCTATAGGATCTAGTACTTTTAGATTCATAGCAAGCTCTTTTATTTCCAAGGCCTACTATAGCCCGCTTTATATACTAAATCCTCCTTTATATAATTCTTCTTTTATAATCCGCTCTTTATAACTAATATACAGGCTACTAACTTCTCTTACTTAGATTATATAGTTCTTTTATAGCTTATAAATATACTTACGGATTATAATCCGTTTATTATAGTTTATAAGATAGCCTATAAGTATTTTATAAGCTAGTAAACCAATTTCTGGATTTTACTTAATCTATAAATATACTTAATTCTCAAGTCAGATACTAATTATTATTATAAGAACCTCCTAATAAGTAATAAGGTTATAGCCCTTATTCCGGACAAGTATATAAATGCAAGCTGCCATAATCTAGTACTTATAATCCGTAAGGCAGGCTACGAGTATCCGCAAATATATATAGTTAATATTATATATATAATATATATACTACTTTACTATATCTTACTTTTCCCATATAGTAACCCGGGCTAGTACTACGGTTTATAGTTATAAGACTATAATAGAACTTATTAGCAGATATGGCTTAAGTAATAGATCTTTTACTAGTACTATCTCTATATTTATCTAGCCTTTTCCCTATTCTTTTATACTAGCCGCCTCTTTTAGTAATATATTATTAATATATATATTACCTATAAGGCTATCTCACTTAACTAGCTCTACTTATATTAATAGAATATTCGTATAAATATTTATATAGGACTTGCGGATATTCTAATTCGTAAAAATATCTATATAAATAATATTAGCTATTACTTTATTCTTCTATTAAGCTTTATAAGTAGTAATTACTTTATATAATAGCTCTTTTAAGACTTAATAGCTATTATATAGTACTTTAGTAAGCCAAGCTTCTTTATTACCTTTATAGCTAACCTATACTAGCCTAAGATTATAAATTACCTCTTAAATAGGTAATAAGTAATTAATTATCCGGATCTTCTCTACCGGATCTTTATCCTAAAAATAAGAGAACTTCTTATAAACCTCAAGAACTACTTTTTTAAATAGTATACGGGCTATATCTATATAATTAAGTACTAGAAATATAGCCTTTTATATATATATCTACTCTTATTTCTTAAGAGAAATACTTTTTTCTTAACTCCTAATTTATTTAATAAGATTATTTATATTAAGCTCCTAGACCTATTATAAGATTCTATAGGCAAACTTATAGCTATAATTACTAGCCAGATATCTTATAGGCCATATAGCCTTAATAATAATCCAAAAGCCCTATATATAGTTTATAAAATACCTATAGCCCCGCTTATATATTAGAAAAAGTTCCCTAAAGCATTTGCAGCTATAATAATTATTTATAAGAATAAGTATCCCGAGTACTAGTACCGGGATAATAGCCATATATTTATAGTCTATAAACCAGGCTTTCTAGACCAGGAAATCGTCCGTAATAACTACTAGGTTATTTCATATAACCCGTATCTCCTCTAGAAGTTCCGCTTATATATTAATATTAAGATTTATATATCTATATAAGTAATTAAGTATATCTATAAGTATATTTATAAGAGAATAGATTATATAACTATTACTATCTTGGGAATAGATAATAAGATTATCTAGTATCTCTAGGCTTAGTATATAGGCCCTATAGAGGCTTTCTAGTATCTATTTAAGTACTTAATATACCAGGAGTTTCTCCCGGTTTAATATCTTATAATCTATCTTTCTAGATAATATATAATCTATTTTATAGCTAATCTCTTATCTAAATAAATTATGAACCGGGCTATAAATACCTGCTTAATCTTAATAGCCTTTTTTAAGTATAATATAATATATGAGGACAGATACTAGTACTTATATTACGAGTTCCTATAGTACTTTATATAGGTTATTAAGACCCGGATATAGAAGTACTATAAGCAAGAGTATAGTATTAGTTATATTTACTACTATAGCCTAGTTTCGGGCAAGCGGTTCTACTTATAGCTCTTACTAATAGTTATATATAGTCTATAGTTCTTTAATAAGCTCTACTTAGTTAAGGGTATCCGTTATCCTATATACTATACTACCTATATTACCTGTAGCTTAATAGAAAATAATTAGAAATAGTTCTAGTACTTTAATAAGGCTATTTTATTAATAACCGGCTATAGTTTACAGATACTCTTTCTTATAGGTATCCGCTAGTAGCTAATTACAGATATATAAGTAATCTGGGACCGGTATAAGAAATATTTCTATAATAACTTAGTCTATAAGCTTGCCTATAACCCGTTAATTAACTTCCTATTACCCTTAGTTAATTCTTACTATAATTATAGCCTTTTCTTACTTAGTCTTGGCCTTATAAATCTCTAGTAAATACTTATAAATATTACCTTGCCTGAGAATACCTTTAACTAGACTATAAGCTATTATATAGCTAATTTATAAGTTAATTATACTCGTAAGATATTACTAGTAACCATAATATAAGCCTAGCTAAATATAGACTAGTACTCTTGCTTCTAGATAATTATAATAATAATTATAGATAATTTATAAATGATTTACTTTTATTTATAGGGCCCGGGTAAAACTAGTAAGATATTTCTTTATAAGACCCTCTATTACTATTATTATAGCCAAGATAAGATAGTCCTATATATAATATTAATAAGTATTATAGCTCTTTTTTTCCCGGATAGATATATGTCTTACTTTTAGTTCCGGATCCCGCTCGAGCTTAATAAATTATCTATAAGTATAATTATTAAGACAAACTAGCTCGGAGTACTCTTATAATCTATAGACCTAATTATCTGGGACGAGGTATTTATATAATATAAGTATTACTTTAAGGTAATATACCGGCTAATAATTAATTTATAATTAGTTATAAATAATATTCTCTTTAGAAAAGTACTTATAATTCTCGGGGGAAACTTTACCCAGATCTTACTAGTAGTCCTATATAATTCGCAGGCTAATATAATACGGGCCTACTTATAGTAGATATAAATGTGGCTATGGCTCTATTAGTTATTATTACGGATTAATATATAGGTCCGTAATAACTTGTCTAAGCAGGATTTTATAAACTAGATTAGTTATCTATTATATAACTTATTCTTAAATAAGTAAATTATACTCTCGCCTTTTATTTCATATACCTAGTTAGTTACAGACCTAATTAATTATATTTACCTGTAAGAATAACTCTTATAGGCCCTATATAATTACCGAGTCTTTAGTAAATAAGTAATCCTATTAATCCTAAATAATACAGTCCGTAAACTTAATTAAATAATCCTAGATATATTTCTTAGCCAGAAATAGATATATTTTATAGTAAATTTGGCTAATATAAATAAGGCAGATCCTGAAATTATAGAATTATCTCTAGAGATCTTATAAAACATCTATTTACTAGATCTACCTCTTTCTAAGCTATAACTTAAGATTAGTATATCCGTAATATTCTTATAGAATCTCTATTTATAGAAAGGGCTTTATAACGAATTATAAATATTAATTTATAGCTTTGGGAAATTCTCGATTTATATATAATTACTAGGTAGCAACTTTAATAACTAATTATAGACAATTCTATGGATTAAGCTCTAATTAATAAATTAGTAATTATCTTTTATACTTTCTTATAAGTAGTTTTTATTTACTTTATTTTTTATAATAATTATTAATAAGTTATAGGGCTAGTTATTTAAGGTAATAGGAGTGGATTTATAATTACTAGTCTTTTCTTATAGCTAGTTCTATATAGTAGTCTTATAAATAACCTTATAAATAAGGCTTTATATTCTTTTATTTCCTAATATAAATTATATAAGTAATATAGTATACCCAGAAATATTATAAGGTCTTATTTAGCTTTTAATTTACTTATAGGCTATTCTCCTTTTTATATTATTTATAAAGGCCTTTACTAAGTTATATACTTCCTTTAATTCTAATCCTATTTAAAATATATTTAGGGCAAAATTATTAATTAGCCCCGGAGCTTATATAGGGCTACTAATTAATAATTTTAGTAAAGTAGTCCTAAACTCATTCTCTTTTATATTATCCTATATTTAAACTACCCTAAATAATTAGCTCCTAGTATTTCCTAGAAAAAGCAAATTATATAAGAAATACTAGAATCTCTTTTTTCTAGGAAATTATATATTAGAATATAATTATATCCAAATTCTTAGAACTTAGCTTAGGATAAAAAAGAAAAAGCTCAAGTATCTTTCTTTATATTTTAGTAGTTCTAGAATATAAGAGACTTTTATTATAATTTTTTAAAGTTCGGGAAGAAATAAGGGAAATTCTTAAAATACTAGCTAGTTCTCGGGGCTTCCTAAAAAATATAGATTATATAAGAAATACTAAAAAAAAAAAAGCTAGCCTTATATTACTTTTCTCTTCTTTTTTTCTTTATTATTTTTATATTTACTACTTTTCCTTTTACTTATATTATAGATTCTTCTTACTTTTATACTATTTATAAGTAAAACCGGCCTGCTTCTAACTTTATTATAGAATAAGACAAGTAATATAAGACCTATAATTACTATTAAGTTTATATTTTCTTTCTTTTCTGACTTAACTAACCTATTAATAGGCCTAGAATATTACTAATTATATCTAGTAATATCCTATTTTATAAGAACTTAATTTAAATACTCTTTTTATTTCTCGGTAATAATAATAGTTTATTATAGATATTTCTATAGACAAGCTAGCCCTATAGTACTAGTAACGGATCTATTAATTGTCTATTATAACCCTAGTTAATATCTTAGAGAATTCTTCTATAAACCTATCTATTATATAGCCTCCTGGCTTTTTCTTATACTTCTGGCTAGCTCTTATATATATAACTAGTTTACTTATAAATTATTATATAGCTTGCAGAGCCCTCTATTTTAGTTATATAAATAATTACTTTAAGGCCTATTATAAAAAAAGTAATATAATAC